GTGGTCCCAGCCTATGACAAAGCACTAGAACCTGAACAAGAGGGAGAGGCAACTCTGGGACCTAGTACTTGTTCTCAACAAAGCACATTTCACCTCCATGCTCGTGACGACCTGCTGCTGCTCTGACCTTCTTTGGGTTCCTTCGCTGGTTTGTCTTGTTGCATTGGTTTAGTATTTTAAAAACAAGAATGGTAAATATTTAGCATTCTCCTGAAACATCCCCTTTTGGAGAAGAATGTTATGATCTCACTACTAGCAACCTTTTAAATGTCATGACATTATTTTTAGCTGTTCCTTGAGTTCATGAAGGTAGCACATAACTTTCTCACATTGATGATCTGACTCCTTTTAATTATAAATCGCCTTCATAAGTGCAACCATTATGAATTCTGAAGCTTTAGCCGGAAGCTGCAGAAATTCATCTGCTTAATCTTGTCATACTTCGCACCTCAACTTCATGGCCTAGCGTCTGTACCGTTGGCTACTTACCGTCTATTTTCATGCCCAGGCCTTATGGATGACTGTCACAGTCTCATAATTGTCTGTCAGGGGCACGGTGTCCCTCGGCCTTCTTGCAGCCCTCCCCTTCCCCCTGCTCGTCTTACAGATGCTGCTATTCTGATCAGTGGAATGAGCACCCAGAGTTATTTTAACAGTGTCAACTGATTTGGGGGGAGCCAGCTGCAACCTCTCACTCAGTCTTCTTATTACAGCGATGTAATGTTTGCAAGAAGGCTAACAAGGAAGTCAGAGGCGCGATGCTGTGATACCAGAGGACACCGTCCTCTGCACAAACTAACAAGCCTATGCTGACAATAAATGACTCTTGGTTAAGGAACAGTCCATGACTACCTCTGTGCAGACATAAGGGAGCAAGTGCCGGAAGACAGAATATGAGAAAGACATGTATCCTGCCACATCTGAGGCTCTTTCTCTCAATTGCCTTCCCAATACCATCACACCATCATGTCACCAGTCCACCAACTCTGGGCAGTGAAGCCCCTGCCATCCGCACTCACTGCCAGGCCAGTCTACCTTCTGCAGCTGCTCTGAAATGTTAGTGAATACTTGTGGATCATTTCCCCCCTTCCTATTACATTATCCCACCTAGTCCCCGCCTGACAGTGCAAGGGGCTGCATCTGTGCCTTATACCAGGGTGTGTGTTGATGATCTGCCAGGATAGACACCAAGCCTCCCGGGAAATGATCGTGGTCCACTCTGCTTATTTAGGTAAGGCTCAGCTGTCACTGTAGCAGCCAGGAATGTGGTGTCGGGGCTAAGAATTGTGAGTGGCAGCCCCTCCCTGCCCCTTATTTAATTACATGAAAAAGAGTGGGTGTTTGGTGCCCTCCAGTCTGCTGCCATGAGAGGCCGTCTAGGATTGGTTGCTGTCTGTGCCCATGCCGGAGAATTTGAAGAGCAACTCCCAATCTATGGGGTGAAACATCACATCGACGGATGGCAAGTTCCAGGATTCTGTTGCAAGGGGCTCTGCTGTCAGAAACAAAGCTTGCCTCGTGACTCTGAGCCAGGAGCCACGGATAAAAATACCCCAACCCCACAGCCATACTCATTAAAGTCTGTTGGAGTTTTGGATCTTCAGTGTACGTTATAAACTTTATTAGCTCATAGAGCCTTCTTAAGAAAAATTAAATCTAATAAACCTTAGGGGGAACTGATTTTGTGGCTACCATCCTTCTATTTTCTGTGGCTGGGGTGGGGGCTGGGGAAGTAATCTTGTGGGGTTTGCAGGCAATGCAGTTGTGGTTGTGGGCTGGAGAGCAATTCAGGGAACATGCACGAGGAGGGCAAAAGCATAGGTCTCATGTTCGCTACACTGAGAACACCTTCATTGACAGCTTTCCAGAAGCATTTCTTGCCACGGAGTTGGGAGGGTCTGTAGCTACTACTCAGAGGGCAACAACACAGGCTGCAAACCACCTTCCGAGGTCGCCAGGGTGCACACTTCTTAGGTACAAAATGGGGCGGTTTCCTTCCTCCAGACTAGGGATTCTCGGAGCTGCCCACCAGGTTTACAGGGGACAGAAAGCAGACCCAGGCATTGCAAGGCATGCCATGGGTAGGATGGCTTTAAGGGAACTTGTAGTGATCATTGTTGTGATTATTTATTAATCAAGACTTTTAAATATTGGCCCAAATGGCAAAAACTCTGTTATTCTCCACATCGACAGTGCCTTAAGTGTGCTCTCTAGTTACCTACAAATTTTTCCAACACGAGCGATTGTGCTCTATTTGGCTCCTGAGGTTGATCCCCAACATGAACGTAGGACACCCGGAAAGCAGGCACTTTGGTGTAGAATGTCCATGCCGAGGTGCGGAGGGGTGGGGATGTGGTGGGGTGGCTGTCCCAGGAATTCATGAGTTCAAGGGTTCTTAATGGGCCATCTGTAGTTGGACCTCAGGAAGTCAGTGGACCTCCTGGAACAATATGTAAATGTTAGTGATGCATAAACCTTGTTCGAAAAGAGCCCTGGTGCCGTAGTGGTTACAGAGTTAGGCCAAGATCCACAAGGTCAGCAGTTCGAAACCACCAGCTGAGCTTCATGGGTGACAGAAGGGGCTTTCTTCTTGAGAAAACAGTTTCAGTCTCCAAAACTGCCATCCCCCTGGAGTGGGGGGTGGGGGTGGCGGGCTTTCTACCCTGTCGTTTAGGCTTGCTAAGAGTCATCATCAACTCAAAGGCAGTGGCTTGTAGGGATTGTTTCAGAACGAAGCTCTATGGTTCACATCAGATTTACTATTAATGGTTTGCCCACCCACAAGGATCTGAAGACCACCAATCCAAGGCCATCCCTCTCCTTTTTTGGTTACAGATGAAGAGCATAACATCCAGAGGTGAAGGACAATTTTCCAGTGACCACACAGCTAGTTGATAGTCGATCCAACGTTTGAGATCTTTTCTGACTCTGGGTCTGGAGCCACTGCTTTCTACCGAACCACAGTGGTTTTCATAACCTCTGATGAGATGCCGTTGCTCTGGATGATCTTTATTTGCACCATGAGTGTAACCTTAATTAGATGGCCTTGGAGATAACGTTTTCACCTCTGGCATTGTGTGTTTCCACCCACCATAATTGAGTCTTGTCATAAAGTCTCCCCCAATAATTTCCATTTGGAATTGATTTCCATTTCATAATTTACCTCCCCTCTCTCACCTCCCACCCCACAATTAATTTCCTTTGTTACCAGAGCTTGGGGCACCTTTTAAAAGAAAATGGTATCCCATGAGTTTTCAGGAGCTGATGATGGGATAAAAGGACACCTCCATCAGGACTGGCTCTGTGATTTATGGGGCCTGATGTGAAAGTAAAATACGAAGCCACTTTGTTTTAATGAATATTTCAAAATTCAAAACGATGAAAGCAGAGCACTTGACCCTATTGTGGGGTCCTTGTTAAGTAAGCGTGGGGTGCCGTGAGACCACACAGGAAATCCGGTCAAACCAAACCAAACCCACTGCCATCGCGTCGATATGGATGCCTAGCAACCTTCTACTTGTTACAGGCACAGATGTCCTCAGCCTTCTCTGGCGGTTCAAACCACGAACCGAACCGCGTGGGTAGCAGTGCGAGGCTTACTAGACAACGCCACCCGAGTTCCTCACACAGGCCATCAGTCTCCGTCCTGAGCTTTGGTGAGGCAGGAGACAAAGAGAAGACAGTCTGGTTTTTAACTGGCCACAAACACAGCCTACAAAGAATGCAACGTTCTAGAAAGTTATCCATTTGTAATCATAAGGACATTCTGGCTTATGTGTGCCTGCGCTCACACACGGGAGCACCACACACAAATCAGTTTGACTGCAATTACCAGCTTTTTGCCTCACCTTAGGCCAAAATCCAAACCAGTTTGCTTTCATTGTTGGCCCTATTGCACTGGCATCATTTAAGCTCCCATTATCATGATCAGTTTTCAGAAGCCAAGGACAAAGGATAGAATGGACTCTCCAGAGGCATCTGAAGAGGCAGGTAGAGAGGAGTCCTCCAAGCAGTGACAGAAAACCAACTGGGGACGTTTTAAATGGGAAGAAAGGGACAGAGCAGCTTCTGGGTTTGCAGTGTAGCCAGCCAATACTCCAGGCTTCAGACATTAGGCGAAGAGAAAGCATTTTAAATTCAGGACTCAGAAATCAGGGGCCCCACCCGATAAGCTGGTTTACCAACTGGGAAAGTGGCTGGGACTTGGTTTCCTTGAGATATACATATTTCAGTCGAGCAGAAACACCCAAGCCACCACATTCCACACTTCCCATTTTAGTGGCATACCAGGGTTCCAAGTTTAATGCATAACATCTGTGCTTCCAAGGAGCAGAAGCCAAATGTAGGATGAAGTCCCATTGGTTAACTAGCTGCAGAAACCAAAAGCAAATGTGTGCAAAATGGAATTTACACTCGCAGCATGCTAAGTAATCTCCGGCTTGTTGACACACTAAAGGCCAGTTAGTGCCGGAGAAAATACATAGAAATTGGGCAGATCAATTTTTATTAGTCTCAAGTGTCTTCAGTGGTTGTTATAAGTAACCCAGTACATGCCAAAGCGAGCTTCCTACGTGCAGCTTGTACTCCAGAGTGCTAAGAAACAGCCCTCTGTGCACTTCCGCCAAGGTAGAGAGGAATTGGCCCACCATAGCCTAAGCCTGCAGAGAGAGGTTTTCATCAGTTTTCCGATAGAGCTTTCAACCCCAAAGCCCAGAATGGAGCTTTGCTGCCCATAAACACATGATACACACCTAATGACAGCATTCATTCTCTCCGTCATTCATCTACTTATTCACTATTCACTGACGCGTGACCTCGGGGTGCCCAATCCTGTGCTAGGTGCTATGCGCTGCTCTGCTATGTGAAATGTATTTGTGGTCATGTGCCCACCCAACTCCGAATTGGATATCAAATACAATCTCCACAGAATACGCCACAAGAGTGAATACAAAGCAAAGAATTTCGCATTTTCTAATATGTTATTAACTCTTTCTTTGCAGTATCTGTGGGATATGAATATGAAACCTGCCCTGACTTGATTCTCTGGGAGAAAAGGACGGTCGTTTTGCAAGGTTTTGAGATGGATGCTTCTAACCTAGGAGGCTGGTCCTTAAATAAGCATCATATTTTGAATCCTCAAAGTGGTAAGCAAATTCTATTCAATGTTCATCAATACTGTTTCCCTAATGCCACATAAAGACTTGACGGAAACTACCACCACCGACAAATGCTATGTAGGTAATGCATAATCATTAAAGAAAAATTTGAAAAGTACAGCTAAATTTTGAAAAGTTCACCACCTAGAGATAACCATGTTAGTAGATGTCCTTGATCATATAATAATCTGCTTTGAAATTAGTATCCATAAGGAAAAGGCTTTCTCACAATGTCATATGAACTGGATTTCAAGACTGCGCTATCATCATTGCTTCTATCCCCGGTCATTAAGCTTTTGCTGTGACTTTCTAACTAAATTTTGAAAGCTGGAATAATTGCAACCAGTTTTTCTCTAAGACACCGTCAGTTATGAGGACATCACTATTTTATGGAAAATATACTACCAATTAAATATACATACTTATTTTTATATATGAAGAAACCATTAAGTCCAGTCTGGTTCAAGTCCATGAGCTACATGTTAACCTGGAAGCTTCTCAACTCACAAACCAGGAAGCAGGAAGACTACAGGCTAATAGAGGCAGATGCAGATGAATCCAAAGTCATCAGGTTAAACTTGTGGCTGCAGGGTCCCATGAACCAAGGTTAGCAGGTCAGATGGCAGGCTGCTGATGTCTCCTAGGGTAGTTAAGCCATTTGGCAGGCTGTTGGCTCAAACCCCCAGAAACAGAGGTCAGTGAGCCAGATGCATGATCCAGACCAACAATGAACAAGTAAGCACTCCACTGAGTTTACTTATATAGGAATTAGGCCACATTCCTGAGAAAACTTCACCAGGACTGTGACCTGAGTTAAGGGGATTGCACTCAACCCTACAACTCCCACAACTGCTTGACAGGTCACAGCAGATCCCATCATGGAGTTGACTGCATTATATTAGGTCACATGTGAGATCAGTAGGCCAAACCACTGAGAAGCCTGGTCCAGCCAAGTTGACACAAACATGCACTGATTCTAAGATGCATCCTGAACTCAGAGATGTTAAAATGTGAAGGAAAATGTACACAAAATCAATGATTCACCTATATAATTTTTTCAAAGGAATTCGGTAAGCTTTCTCCAATTTTAGGAGCTCTGGTGGTGGAGTGGTTATGCTTTGGGCTGCTAACTACAAGATCTGCAGTTCAAAACCACCAGCCCCTCCTCAGGAAAAAATGGGGTTTTCTACTTCCAGAAAGAGTTACAATCTTGGAAACTTGAAGAGGTAGTTCTACCCTGTCCTATAAGGTTGCTATGAGTCAGCATCCACTCAATGGCAATGGGTTTGGTTTTGGTTTGGGCCCATCTTAGACACAGCAAACCTGCAATGTGGTGCGAACCCCATATAAGCCCCTTGAAAATGTGGGGCTAAGATAGGGGTCCTCAAACTACAGCCCTCAGGCCACATGTGGCCTAAGGATATTTACCCAGGCCGCCGGGTGTTTTTGCCCCATTTTGGTTTTTAGTTCAACATAAGATATGTGCAGTGTGCATAGGAATTTGTTCATAGTTATTATTAACTATAGTCCAAACCTCCAATGGGTCTGAGGGACAGTGAACTACTGGCCCCCTGTTGAAAAAGTGTGAGGAGCCCTGGGCTAAGATAAGCAGATGACTTTTCCAAAGTTGTGTCGTAGCTATTGTTGCCTCTCCTGCTTCAGACAGTCCTTTCTGATGCCTGGGGAGCCCATGCACAACAGAATGCAATAGGGTCAGATCCCATGCCATCTGCACAATCGTTGATACACTGCGTCTATAGTCACTGAGTATTCTGAGTGCCTTCTAGCCTAATCCAATACCAGACTGTTGTGAAACATAGGGCTTTCAGTGACTGATCGCCAGGGATTGACCTACACAATCCCTCTTTTTAATATGCCTTAGTCTGGAAACTCCTGAACCCAGTCCACCATTGATGACCCTACTGGTATGCAGAGTACCCGTGGCAGAGCTTTCAGCATCACAAAAATCCTTATTAACCAGAGTTAGCAAGTGACTAGAACCAGGTACCTTTTCTCCTACACTCATTATTTATTCACATAAATGCCAATAGGAACGGGATTTTTTTTTAAATTAAGGACAGTGATGGTTAAAGGAGGACCAGAGGTTGGAGGCAGAATGCAGAAGTGCTGGAGGCCATGGCTAGAAAGTGAAGCGCTGACCTTCACTGAGCTGGCTCTGAGCCTGGGATTCAAGAGAAGCAGAAGCCGCAGTTCAAATGAGAACAGCATGACTACTAGCTTTCTCTTCTTTGAGTCAGTTTCTTGCTGTTGCTCACTCCTAGTTCAAGTCAAATGTTAAAGAAGTCAGGAGAAAGGACCATGGGGAAGAGCCCTGGTCTTACAGTGGTTAGCCACTTGACTGCTAACCAAAGGTTGGCAGTTCAAAACCACCAGCCCCTCCACAGGAATAAAGATGTAGCGGTGTGCTTCTGTCGAAACTGCAGCCTTTGAGCCCCGCTGTGCAGTACTGCTCTGAGACTCAAACGACTGGACAGCAATAGGTTTGATTTAGTTTCTTGGTTTTTTGTCATTTTTTTAATTTTTGTTTTTGGTTTGTTTGTTTAATCATTTTATTGGGGGCTCATACAGCACTTCATCACAATCCATACATGCATTCATTGTGTCAAGCACATTTGTGCATTTGTTGCCATCATCATTTTCAGAACATGTTCTTTCTACTGGAGCCCTTGGTATCAGCTCCTCATTTCTTTCCCTCCCACACCCTCCTTCCTTCATGAACCCTTGATAATTTATAAATTGTTATTATTTTTTCATGTCTTATACCAACCAATATCTCCCTTCACCCACTTTTCTCTTGTCTGTCCCCCAGGAGGGGGTTATAGGTAGATCATTGTAATTAGTTCTCCCCTTTCCCCCTCACCTTCCCCGTACCCTCCTGGTATTGCTATTCTCATTGTTGGTCCTGAGGGATTTATCTGTACTTGATTCCCTGTGTTTCCAGCTCTTTTCTGTTCCCATGTAGCAGCTCTGGTCTAGCCGGATTTGTAAGGTAGAATTGGGATCATGAGAGTGGGCGGAAGGAGACATTAAAGAACTAGATGAAAGTAGTATGTTTCATCGGTGCTATCCTGCACCCTGACTGGCTCATCTCCTCCCCACAACCCCTCTGTAAGGGGATGTCCAGTTGCCTACAGATGGGCTTTGGGTTTCCACTCTGCACTTCCCCTCATTCACAGTGATATGATGTTTTT